TTTTTTTTTTAAATATCCGATTAAGAAAATGTATAATGGATGGAAATGGACAGCTAAACAACAAACAAACAAACAAACAAACAAATCGAGAAATTCTGATTCCTTAAATCAAGTTAATTCAGTACAACCTGTGTTGTTTAGGGAGTTGAAAATACAGTGGTACCTCTGTATGCCTACTTAATCCGTTCCTAATCATTGGAACATAGCAAACATAATGCAGACCAAACGAATTTCCCCGTCAGAAATAAAAACAGGGTGCTTAAAAATATCTGCCTATTGTCATTCCATCCAATACTTTGACTTACTGTTTGGGCCTTGTTTTGCGTGATATTTCTATGCAGTCAGCGACACATATCAATGGCTTTGTCTTGGAAAAAAAGTACAACGAAGATGACGCGCGGTATCGGGACTAATTTTAATCCATACAATAACGTATTCTAAACAAAGGTCGTATACCAAAGAAACGTTTTGGCGTCTAAACGCAGCTTATACCATGTTGTAAAATCGTTTTTGATTAAATTTGACATTTAAAAGCCCCGATTTCTCCCTGTTGTGATTGAGGTGTGACTCACTGCTGACAAACTTTAAGAAGACTGTCTATTACACGCATGAGAATCTTTGGTGTGTGTACAAAATAGTTTATCACATGAATTATGTGAACATGAATTCCATGTAAAACCAGAAATATTTCCCCACACACCTATATACATGTCTGTCTCGCTACGTGTTTATCTACCCACCCGTCAGTTTAATTATATCTCGTGTGTGTGCTCTCAGTATATTCACTTCTTAGTGTTTTTTTGCCAGTAGCTCAAGGGTCTCTGCTGTACTGTGTGTGTTTTTCTGGTGTGGATAGAGTGGGAGAAAATCACTTACCGTCTGCATACACGGAAGCAATGAGAGCAGGATACCAGGGGTAGCAGAGTCCCAGGTGTGCTGCTCGTGATGGGTTCGGTCGTGGCTCGTTGAGGTATAACGGGCACCTATGCTGAACGTTTGATAGACTCGACGCAGAGACTTCCTTGCTATATTCCTTCACTGATCTATCATTGCCAACGATGTTTTCTTTACTTTCAGTTTTCCCTAACTTCGTTTCTGAATCCTCTCCTAAAATTCTGCTGATGGTAAACGATCTTTTTAGATCGAGAGACGTCGATGAGACATGTGATGGTGATCTTGGAACTGTATCCTGTTCCGTGGATGTTTCTGACGCAAGAGTCGATGTCCTGAAAACGGATTCATCATCATCGGAAGCCATTGTGTCTTATTTTGTAAATTACGTTTCACAAGCACTAGTCAGATCATTTTGGTGGTGTTAGTGTTGTTCAGCAACACTATTTTCTCTTTGCCAATAGAATCATTGTTATTTATAAAAATCTAAAATGTTTCCATATTCCAAATATTCTACATCAACATCAGTCTCTAAATCGCTTAAATTTGCACGTCTAAAAACAGTCATCATGTAGAAATTAGCCCTTGTAACAGAATTTTAGCCAAAAATTATGTGAATTGAAATAAAGTGTACACACGCACAAACATGAGCAGAAAACGGTCAGATTCCGTGCATCAAACCTAGATTTATATATATCCGTGTGATCTGGTTATAAATAATGAGAGACAATGTTTACTCCAATGCCTGCCACAATAGGTAAAATATAACAAGCAACATTTTGGGGGAAATCCCAGCATCACATGGGTTTTCTAGATTTCTCCCTTCCTCTCTTTAAATTTTAGTAAATATTCGACGTATTCGTTTTTTGTTCTTTTTTTAATAGCAATCACATTATTGTAACAGGGCTATAACATGACCATTAGCCCAGTTGTTTTTCCAGCAGCCGCCTAAATGGCGTCTTCTCTCTTTCGCCTTCTTCAACATCTAAAAGGCTGTTCTTTAACAAAATGCGACCAAATAAGACACCTGTCACCATGGGGCGCGGTATTGGTTGGCTAAACCCACACAATATTATAGAAATAATGAGGAGCGTCACTTAGTCCCCGCCCACATAAATCAGTAGTGTTCGAAGGCAGGAGGGATTGGTGGGAGCAAAAAACGACGACATTTACGATATTCCAGCGTTAGTTGGCAGCTGATGGAACAAAGAGCTTGTCTGCTGATAGCCGTATCGGTGGCGACGTGTGCAGTCGAGTAGTTCACGAACACGTCTGAAAGCCAACAAGACAGCATAAATACTATTCAAGAGTTCTAGCAGAAACACTTGTCGTGGCACCGAATTATCCGTCCGTTAATGATTGTATGCAATGATTCCACTATTGAGTTTGCAAGGTTTGTTAGTCTTTCTTTCTCTCTCTTTCTCTCTACACACACATACACACACATGTACAAACACACGCACGCACGCACAAGCTCGCTGGCAGATCCGAAGGTTGTCGTTTCAAATCCGAAGGTTGTCGTTTCAAATCCGAGCGGAGCAAGAGTTTTTTGTTTTCTTTTACAATCTAACCCAAAATAGTGCCAATTAAAGTCACTGGCAGTAAAGTCACTCCAGACAATACTATAGATGCTCTGACTTTACCTTTAAAACATACACCAGCGTTATAAAGTTTATATTGTCAGTCCTAAGCTGGGTGACAAAATGTCCAGTACACTTGATGTGCCTCTTGTGTCTGGCGGTGCCGACCTTTACTTCCAAATTACATTCTTAGCAAGAAGTGATTCACAGTCTTAAAGGACGGAATGTAATTAAGTCGTTTTAAACTCACCTCTTTGCATGTAATGTGTTTGACATTAAAGGTAATAACTAAATACATGCAGTAAAGGATTTGGAATCCTAACGACAGTAAATGAGGTGCGACTACTTTTCTCTTTAATAGTAAATGCAGTTAAGACCTGCAAAATGAAACGACCAGCTGAGACACAAGCGAGACAGCAAAGATATGCCTTTTTGAGAATCTTTGAGAGGGGTGGGGCCTGTTTACTGCAAGCCGTGATTAGTAAGGCACCTAAAAATACCGTTTTAACTGCAGTGAAAAGGCGGGAAATGCAATGTTACGGACATGTAATAGGATCCAACATGCTCTCAAAAACAATAATACAACCCTAATAGAAGAAAGATGAGAGACAGGCCAAGAAAGACATAAACATAGAACTTGACAGACCTTAGACGTGCAACCATGAAGCATCTGACTGTCAGAGGTGGTGGGAGCTGATTAGAGCGTCAATAACAACTGGTGGCCCAGCGAAACAATTTGTTGGATGATGATGATGATTAGTGAGGGCAATCATGACAACATTCCGGACAGATCCATTGGTGCTCCGATCCCCTCCTCAATAGCTCAACAAGAGTAAGCGACAACTTGTGCCCTTGGTGAAATATTCATATCTGCTTTTTCCCGATTGTACCTTGACAAGGTTACTGAGTCCACTGAAATAAACAATATAAAAGTCGTCCCCTTGTGGAATGCAATTTTTCGTTATTTTGAAGTCCCACCCTGGCTGTTGCGGGGGCCCTAATATAACCTAACCGTTTAACGGGGTTTCCTGGACTTCTCCATTGGTGATTCTCATCCGCAAGGTGGAACTTTGTGTCACCGGGTGTTTATCGCTCTGTGTGATTTCCTGGTGGGGTAAAATTCTCACCGAGTCACCTTGCTGTCGTGATCTTCTTCGCGATATGCATCTCGCATGGCATTATTGACATCATTCATGTACAGTGTCACGTCGTAGTAACTGCCTTTGTCGGCCTGTTAATCTGCGCGCTAGTTGCCTTGAACACCCGCGCGGTCCAACACAAAGAAAACGGTTGGGCGAGTTTTTGTGATGTATTTAATGAGAGAATCCATTCTTGTCTGACGAAAACGGCCTGGATTTACTTGAACCTATTCACTGAACAGCTCAGTACGCTTGTGTGAATTCCTGGGTACCAGACAATTAAAGCTGAGGAAGGCCAAACAAAATCTAACTTCTGAAATGCCTAATTTGATAATAAGTAGATTTTATTAACCACAAAATGACAATAAATGTCCATCAAAATATTTATACATGACTGATTATCCACTCACTCAGTCGAAAACCGCCTGTCAAGTTGATGTGACCCACTTTAAGTCAGCTCACTGAGTGGCACTGGTTATTTCTCCTCTGGTTCTTTTGGCGAGGTTTTGGCTTTCAACCAAAGATGTCATCTCTCAGTACAAGACACGCCAGAACACTTGGGCTCACTCGGTATTGGCAGTTGGCTGATGTAGGCTAGCCAGCTCTAGAATACAACCGGCTGACAGCTCTAACTGACCATACTTAAGAACAAGCTTTCGGGTTCAGGCTCAACAGGTAGCATATGGGACAGGCAGTGAGCTTTCAATTGAACAGCCAAATAGTGAGGATCATGTCTTTAAAATAAACTCTAAGTACTATCCATGCCATGTTGAATAGGGATCATGGGAAAGAAACCAGAATCTCCTCAACTGATATGACATTTCACTCCTGTCTCAAAAGACTGAAATCTGAAAATATATATTACCTGATCGTTTTTGGTCTAGACGACGGATAAACAACATGGCACAAGGGTAGTAGCCCAGAATTGCTCCGTTCTACTTTTGACTCAAGCCTTATGAATCTCAGCAAGGATCCTGAAATACACTGGGTAGATTTTTAACTCCAAATGTTGCCCAGGCAGCGCCGTTAGGCTACTCCTTTTCGATTTCCAACTTCCAAGGGATTTATTTTACGTGCGCTACAATACACAAGGGCGTCCGATCTTACTACTCAGAGACCAGGGGAAATTACTAGAAGTGCAAGTAAAAAAAATATCACCATTTACCGGGGCTTGAACCCGGGACCTCCAGCACTCGAGGCTGACGCCATGCCTCTAAACTACGCAGTCCCCACACTTGACAGTACAAAGTAGATCAGCGCATTGATAGAGGTTAGGTATCTCTTTATGATCAGGCCAACACTTAGAGTTTCACCATATTTTACAGTTAGGCCCCTTGCTACAGTTTGCAGTTCAAACATATCACTCGAAGGTACAAATAAAATATTATAA